AGAGCCAAGGGCACCACCACACACAGTAAGCACCGACACTAGATTTTGAGAACCCAGAACTCAAAACTCCAAAGACCAAAGATTTCCAAGGAAATGCCAACCAACAGGAATAGAAACTCTCAAGTCAAATTCTGTCAGAGAAGCAATAACTGTCTAAAGAAACGTATGTGGTTACACAAGCAGCATTCTGATGAGCCCTGATTTTTAAAGTGCACTATATATTTTAAGTGTTTACTGAAAGATAATAAACCTATAAAAAATTGTATACATATCCCAGGTACACAGCTTAATGAACTGTCACAAATTGAACAAACTGGTGTAAACTGTATTTGGATCCAGAAATAACATCACAGCACCCTAGAAGCCCCTCCCTTTATGCCCCCTCGAGTCCCTAACCTACCCCAGAGAAACACTAATCCTGACTGAATAGCACAGATTCATTTTGGCTGTTTTTGTAATTTATATAAATGGAATCATACACTATGTACTATTTTGTATTTGGCTTCTTTCACTCAATATTACGCTTGTGAAATCATCCATAATGTTGCACATAGCTGTAATCATAATATTCCATTCTAGGAACATCCCACAATCGGTGTATTTATTCTACTGCTGACAGGGGTGCACAGTTTGGAGCTATTAAGAATTGTGCTGCTATGACATGAACATTTAAATGCATATCTGTCAGTCAATATACACGCACTTCTGTTGCACCAATTCACACTTTCTGCAGCAGGTGCCAGAACTCTGGTTCTTCCACATCCCTGCCAACTTGGGCATGTTTGTGTCTTTTTCATTCTAGCCATTCTGGTGGTGGTGTTACAGTAACACTAACATACTTTTAAGATATATTTTATTCTTTATACTTTGTTTACAAAAGAGGATGAAGGTAGTTTATAATAAAAAGCCAGATTAGATAGAAACAATTTTTAAAGTTTTTTAAATGGTAAAATTATAAAGAAAGAGGGTAAACAATTGTGCCAAAAACCTATACCAGGATGTTAGTAATTACTACAATTCAATATAAAACTTATTTCTGAAATTTCTAGCAGCTAATACCAAAAGAGAAATTTGAGTTATATAGCTTTCATCCTCTAATAAAAGGTATTATAACAAATGGTCAAAAGAAATTCTGCTTGGAGGTTATCAGAGTTCACAACGTAATTGATACTGTCTTCAACAGCAATTTTATAAAAGATATAGAAACACTTTGCATACAGCGCTCTAATTTCTTACTCATCTTTATACAGCTGTTGACATAACATCAAATTGCAACCTTTCTGAGGTAACTCTGCCATAACCGAGCTTCTCAGAGTGAACGGCTAGAGTGTATTTTGGACCTTCTCTTTCAAATATCAGTTGTCTTAGCGTTTTTTTTTTTTTTTTAATAACTTTCTCTTCTGATTATAAAGGTAATAAAAGCTCATTATGAAAAATAGAGGGAAAAAAAGAAGAAATTAAACATTAAGCCCACCACCCAGAGGCAGCCTTCTAGACAGTTTTCTATAATATAAAATTTTAATTAAGACTTTTAATTCATGCACTTAAAAAATTTTTATTTTTAGTTTTTATTTTATTGAAGTCACATTGGTTGATAACATTATATAATTCCAGGTGTACATCATTATATTTCGACTTCTATATAGACTGCATTGTGTTCACCGCCAAAAGTCTAGTTGCCATCCGTCACCATATTTATGTCATGCATTTTTTTTCAATAGGTAGTGTGTGCTATCTATCCTATTTTGTGACCAGTTTATTATTTTAACAGCTACAGAAGAATTTATTCATTTAACTAGAACTCCACTGCTGACACACAGATTGCTCCCAATTTTCTGCTCTGAGGAACATGTTTCAACATAAACCTTTACGTACATTTCTAATTATTTCTCTAGAATAAATTCCTAGAAGTAGAATTACCAGGTCAAAAAGAATATGCACATAGAGGCTTTGATCCACTGCCAAACTGCCCCCAAAAGTTCCATCAATTTGAACCCCCATCAACCTGTATGAGAGAACTTGCATTTCAACAACACTACAGGTTATTTTTCTTATTGGTGTTTTTACTATTTGCCAGTGATAGGTTTTAAAAAAAATACATTCCTTCTTGTATTCTCTAATTCTTCAGTTTACAGCAAGGATAAACATCATTTCATAAGTCTGTTGGCCATCCGAATTTCTTAATTTGTGAAGTGCTATGGTGTTATTCTTCAATGCAAACAATAAATACATATTATAAGCCTAACTGCTGTCAGGCACTCTGCTGGGTAAATATAAGAATGCACCAGGGGCCGGCCCCGTGGCTTAGCGGTTAAGTGTGCGCGCTCCGCTGCTGGCGGCCCGGGTTCGGATCCAGGCGCGCACCGACGCACCATTTCTCCGGCCATGCTGAGGCCGCATCCCACATACAGCAACTAGAAGGATGTGCAGCCATGACATACAACTATCTACTGGGGCTTTGGGGGAAAAAATAAATAAATAAAATTAAAAAAAAAAAGACTCTAATAGCTCTTCCTTTAAAAAAAAAAAAAGAATGCACCAAAAACGTAGAAAACTCTTAGGTGACATCCCTTGCAGGTCCCAAGGGTCTTATGTATTAGCTTTCTGGACGCTGAAGAGTGCTAGAAAAATGAATCCCCGGCTACTGGCATAACTCCAAGTGAGCTGTTCTGACGGTAACTTCCTTGTTGAGCCCTCGAGTAAGATCATACCACATCACCTGCCTTCCATTAGCAATGGAGGAATGACACGTACCAAGTTAATCTGAAATACGTATCAAATTATCTAGGAATAAGCTTAAGAGGAAATGTAAAATAGATACAAAAGATGGAAGGAGAAAACGACAATCAAAACAAATGAAACGGTGACCTAAACTGTTGTAACAGGGCCGGGTGAGGCAAAGCCTGTGAGGAAAACTGCGGAGAACTCTGATAAATGGCTTTTAGGGGACGGTGTTCCGATAAAGACAACGGAAAGGAGAGGTCCCTTGTCTGAGAAACATGGTGCTCTTTTCTTTGTGCATTCTCGAATCAGAATGATTCTGAAATAGCCAAGTCTAAGGCACAGACGGTCTGCGCAGGACGAGATCAAAGTGCGCCTAAGCTTGGGGCATCTGTCTCAGACCCTATCGGGTTTATCCTCCGTATCATGAACTTGAGGACAAAGGCAGACTGCTGATCAGATTTGCTGAGGGCGAAGCGCTACGAAATCATACACACGACAAAGAACAGAATCCAGATTCAAACTCAAAAGATCAGGAGAAGCTTGAGCAAGCAGCCAAAACCACTGAGAAGAAATTCAAGAGCAAAGTGTAACGTCTGAGCAATGTGTGAGAATGGTTAGGACCAACCACAGAAGCAAAGAATGAAAAAGACCAGAATGAATAGCAGTTACAGAGAGTAAGTCCAAGGGGTCTTGACCAGCTGGCAGACCACAAGCCAATGGGAGATGAGGCCTCCAGAGGAGCCAGCAACGCCTGGAGGGCCGCCTGCTCCTCCCACACGGGGAGCCCCCGCCCCTCGGCCAGCCTGACTGGGTTGGCTGAGGGAAGGAAACCTGGAGCCTGAGGGGGTACAGAAGTCACCCCCACAAGGCTATGTGGAGAAAAGGAAAAACCTCAGAGGGAATGAGACAGCCATCTACACATATCTGTAGTTATCACGTAGATAAAGAATAAAACACATTTGGGGGAGTCTAGAAACAGAACATGAAGAAAAAATCACATGAATGTAACAACAGCCGCCATCTGCTGAGAGTCCACAATGAGTAGGCACTGTGCACGACCCCAGCCCCCGCCCACCAGAGGCCTCCCTGGGAGAAGGGAGACGGCAGGCGCCACCGCAGAGGGGAGTGATGAGGCAGCGCGCGGGAAGCAGGGGAGAGTCCACACACCACGACCTCTCAGTAAAGGGCACCCATTAGTCCAAATAAAATGCTGTGCACGAATGTTCACAGCAGCATTATTCAGAATAGCCAAAAAACAGAAACAACCCAAAGGCCCATCAAGTGGTGCAAACAACCCAAATAGCCATCGACTGATGAATGGATACACAAAATGTAGTAGACCCGTGCAATGAAATATTATTAGACAAAAAAAGGAATGAAGAAGTGATACCTGCACAGCATAGAGGAGCTCTGAGAATACTATGCTCAGTGAAAGCAGTCATTCACAAAAGACCACATATTGTATTATCCCATTCATATCAAATGTCCATAACAGGCAAATCCATAGAGACAGAAAGCAGATTAGTGGTTGCCAGGGGCTGGGGGAGGGAGAAATGGGAAAAGACTACTAACAGGCTTCTTTTATGGGATGTGAATTATATCTCAATAAAGCGATATTTGAAAAAGGACCCCAGCAGCACCTTCATTTAATGGTCACGGCTTTATGAGGTAGCCACTTTACGATAAAGAAACTGAGTCAACAGTGTCCAACTATAAAGGATGGCGCCAGGATCTGAACCCAGCTCCTCTGTCCAACCTGAAACCTGTCTTCCTAGTCACTGTGCTGATTATTCTGACTCCCAATGAGTGGAAGGAGAAAGGAGGTTAACTCCAGCTGGACATGAGACAGGAAAATCGAACACTTAGAGCTGTGCAACTGGGGGCAGCCCACCTAAGAGTGGTGCCCACCCCTCACCAGAGGTTCTGGCAGGGTCTGAAAAGCATGCACAGGGGCTGGAGAAGGGAGTCCTGCCTTCCTAGGAGGGTGCACTTGGTAACTTCTGAACTACCTTCCAAGTGGAAGGCGACTCTACCTTCTCTGTTCTCAATCTCAGAACATCGCTAAAGTTTTCCAATCTCATGCTGTCTCTTTAAGCTATTCTTGGTTCCATACACTTAAGAAACTGGTTTTCCTATAGTTTTTTAAAACTGTACATGCCTTCCACTGTCCAAAATGACATGATTCCGATGCTGTGATTTATTTCAACCATTTGACAAAAGAATGGGAACTAAACAAACGAGCCATGGAAACACCTGAGGTCAGTGGGTATACTTACTGTGAAGTTCATTTCCTTGACGGCTCGCTGCAGGTGTTCAAGTCCCACAGTCACTGTATACTGAGTGTAGTTCAAGTAGCCAAGGTGAGCCACGATAATTTCTGCACATTTCTGTAAACACACAAGGAAGATCTGTATCTTTAAAGAAAGCAAGACTCACCCTCCCACCAACTGACCCATGAAGTAACACATTTCAAGAACAGATGATCAGAACCGATCATCCCCAGGGAACTCGCCAGAAGCCCAGAAAAATTCAGATGTCAGCCAAAAAACAGTTCTTAGAAAGAAAGAACCAAATGGATATTTCTAGAAACAAATAATATGTGATTTACAGTCACTAGAATCTTTCTACTTCGTTTTTTTGTGTGTGTGTGTGAGGAGATCAGCCCTGTGCTAACATCCGCCAATCCTCCTCTTTTTTTGCTGAGGAAGACTGGCCCTGGGCTAACATCCGTGCCCATCTTCCTCCACTTTATATGGGACGCCGCCACAGCATGGCTTGCCAAGCAGTGCATCGGTGCGTGCCTGGGATCCGAACTGGCGAACCCCAGGCCACCGCAGCGGAGCGTGCGCACTTAACCGCTTGCGCCACCGGGCGAACCCGAATCTTTCTACTTTGGATGATTCAAATCATATGTCACCTATATAAAAGAGATGACAATGTGAGGCACAGCTGACATTTCCACGAACACACGAGTGCACGGGGGAATGTAAGCTAAGACGACAGATCTGACCCTCAGCCTGACTCCTCCTGGGCCCACTCCTGCCACTGCTGTAACATTCAGAGGGAGTACATATTTTCTTTCTCTCCTATTAGCCTGTCCCTCCCCACACAGACCCCTCCGCTGCTATCTCTGTTAGAACGGAGGTCAGGACCCCTCCAAAGCAAAGGCTGGGCGGACAACAGCTAGTGTGATTATGCAGGTGTGTATGCTCATTTGTCTGCCCAGAGCCTCTTTCTTTTGTCCTTTAGAATCAAGAATCAGGTCTCTTCAGGTCACCTCAATTTCAGAGTCATGAGGGAGATGAAGACTGCCCCCCACACCTCTCCCCAGCCACGCCAGCTGGGCCAGCACACCCATCCGGAACTTCCCAGCATCTGCTCAAATGCACTCTCCCTGTGCCAGAGAACGTCCGGCCACCGCCCAGAACAAACAGGCACCTCTATGGCTTTCCGGTGGCACTTGATAGAGCTGTGGCTCTGAACAGGGCAGAGTTACCCCTACCGCTGATCAAACGCTTCCCAAGCCAGGAATGTCTGAGGTCAGGGAGGAAAATAGATCTGGGTGTTACATAAGAAGCCTTAAAAGGATAAGGCACTGGGCGGGGAGGGTGGTGCTGATCTGGGGGCAGGAAAGAAGGCAGAGGAGAGGTGAGTGTGCATGGCAACATTAAGGTACAAGTCAAAATCTCTCAAACCCTCAGGCCAACCGGCACCCCCGGGCCTGCACCGAAGCCCGTGGCGAGGGGCCTGGAGGAGGACGCGAGCTCCCGATGACCACAGGCCCGACCCTCCCACATCTGCAGCACAAGCCAGTGGCTATTTCATCACATCTGAGCTGCGGCTTCTCTTCCACCGGATCAGCTTCCCCCATTTCTCCTGGCCACCTGCCCTCAGGGCACGAGAGTGTGGGGCCCCCGGTCTCAACCAAACCAAACGCCCCTTCTGTCTCCAACAGTCAGGTCATAGAACGACGCTTGGAGAGACGGGCAGCTAAGGCCTCGGCAGGATCAGGAATGAACAGGTTTACATTAGTAAATACATCTGTGCTGCAAAAAGAAGCACTTCTTACAAGTTAAGAATTTGGATTTTCAGGGGATGTTTTAATTAACAAAAGAGTTATCTCTCACACTGTATATATCTTCAAGTTTAAAAAAACTACAGTGAAACCAACAATTCAGAGACTTATGCACCCTTATGTTCATTGCAGCATTATTCACAATAGCCAAGACTTGGAAGCAACCTAAGTGCCCATCAACTGACAAATGGATAAAGAAGATGTGGTATATATACACAATGGAATACTACTCAGCCATAAAAAAAGACAAAATCGTCCCATTCACAACAACATGGATGGACTTTGAGGGTTTTATGTTAAGCAAAATAAGTCAGACAAAGGAAGACAAACGTGATTTCCTTCATACGTGGAAGATAAACAAACCCAAGGAGAAAGAGAACAAATCAGTGGCTACTAGAGTGGAAGGGGAATGAGGGTGGGCATAAGGGGTAAAGGGGCACATACATATGGTGACTGACAAATAATGAACAACTGAAATTTCACAATGTTATAAATTATTATGACCTCAATAAAATAATAAAAATTTTTAAAAAATTAATTCGCATACACACACAAAGAAACTACAGTGAAACCACCTGAGGATCTAGGGGGCCCGAGTTCAGGCCACGGTTCTAATACTGGTTACAATGCCCCTCTGAACATCATTGTGAGAGAGGACCAAAGCTTTCTCACCTGCAGGTGCAGACAACCTTGCTGCCTAACATACTGTTTTCTTTACATCACAGAAAAAGGTAATGGGGGCAGCCCAGCGGCATAGCGATTAAGTTCGCACACTCCGCTTTGGTAGCCCAGGGTTCGCGGGTTCAGATCCTGGGCACCGACCTACACACTGCTCACCATGCCATGCTGTGGCAGCACCCCATATATAAAAAACAGAGGAGGATTGGCACAGATGTCAGCTCAGCAACAATCTTCCTCCAGCAAAAAGAGGAAGACTGGCAACAGATGTTAGCTCAGAGCCAGTCTTCCTCACCAAAAAAAAAAAAAGGTAACATAAAAGGATGGTCAGCATCTCTGTAACATAAAAATTCCGTGTTTTTTTACATCAGGGCAACGCTCCTTTCAAGCTTTGGGAGAGACCTGAGCAGAAAGAGAACAGAAGAGAGAAGTCCCCAAAAGTGACACAGTGTCAACTGAAGCAGGGCCACCAACAGGAGAGGGGAGAAAGCGCAGCGATGCACAAAGAGCCACCGATGCGCAGCATGGCAGGTGCTTCCAAGAAGCCCCAGTGCAGACAAGCAGCCTCCCAGGCAGCCTGGCTCTGTTCTCTGCACAGGCTTCAGGTAGGGCCACCAACTTGTCGCAGTTGGCCCTAGACGTTCCCCGTTCTGAAACGGAAAGTCTCTTGTCCTGGGAAACCCCTCGGTTGCGGAGAACCAGAGAGATCAGTCACACCAGCCTTAGGATAAAGTCACTGACCACCTGTTTGTCACCTGCTCAGTCCGAGAAAGAGCAATGCCAGGTGCTTGACTACCGGCTGAGGCTGGACTCCAGGACCAGTCTGCCCGGGGATGGAGGAGAGGCTGCTGCTTATACAGTGGTCCTTTCAGACCCCCGCACCTGTCGTCACTCCAGTCTATTCAGCAGCACTAATGGAGCACCTACTGTAACAGGCACAGTGGGGCTTACGCACAAACACCGCACACTCTCACGTCTGTTATTCAACTTGATCCTGGCCATTTTCCACAGACAGGCAGGGAAGGCGTAACCCCCACCTTACGGACGAGGGAAACACATTTCAGAAACCAGCCCAGGCTGTTCACACAGGTGATAAGAGGAGGAGGCAGAACGAGAGTCCAGTTACTTCACGTGCTTCCCTAAGGCACCCCCTACCCAGGTCCACCTGACGGATCCGGCCGGGCAGAGCTGCTGCTGAGCTGGGGGAGCAGACGCTGCGATGATTCTGCTGGAAGAGAGCAGCACTGTCCGCACACCTTCCCAACAACCCAGTACCCTTCAGGCTACGGTTCTGACCCTTTCCAGAATCTTCTAGTAGCCGTCAACTGAGAGGGAGCACAGCCAGGGGCCCGCCACTGAACAGGAATCGTTCCCTATCTGAATTCTTTCTTGCCAGGATAAACAGGCCTAGTATGTCACTGTTATTAAGTAGGTGGTATGTGTGGGTATTAAGGCCACAAATTTACGAATAAGACATGGGCTGAAATCCTGGCCCTTTCATTCACCACCTGTGTCACCTCAGGCAAGTGTTTTTTTTTTTTAATTGATATCATAATAGTTTATAACACTGTGAGATTCCCGTTGTACACTGTTATTTGTCAGTCACAATATAAATGTGCCCCTTCAACCCTTGTGCCCACGCCCAACTCCCTTCCCCCTGGTAACCACCAAACCATTCTGTCTGTGTGTTAGTTTATATTCCACATATGAGAGAAGTCATACGGTGTTTGTCTTTCTCTGTCTGGCTTATTTCACTTAACATAATACCCTCCAGGTCCATCCATGTTGTTGCAAATGGGACAATTTTGTCTTTTTTATGGCTGAGTAGTATTCCATTGTATATACATACCACATCTTCTTTATCCACCCATCTGTTGATGGACACTTGGGTTGCTTCCACTTCTTAGCTATAGTGAATAATGCTGCAATGAAGACAGGGGTGCATAAGCCTCTTCGGATTGTTGATTTCAAGTTCTTTGGCTAAATACCCAGAAGTTGGATAGCTGGATCATAAGGTATTTCTATTTTTAATTTTTTGAGGTATCTCCATACTGTTTTCCAGAGAGGCTGCACCAGTTTGCATTCCCACCAGCAGTGAGTGAGGGTTCCTGTTTCTCCACATCTTCTCCAACATTTGTTATTTTTTGTCTTGGTGATAATAGCTGTTCTCATGGGTGTAAGGTGATATCTTAGTGTAGTTTTGATTTGCATTTCTCTGATGACTAGTGATGTTGAACATCTTTTATATGCCTATTGGCCATCTGTATTTCTTCCTTGGAAAAATGTCTGTTCATATCCTCTGCCCATTTTTTGACCGGGTTATTTGGGTTTTTTTGTTGTTCAGATGTGTGAGTTCTTTATATATTATGGAGATTAACCCCTTTTCAGATATATGATTTGCAAATATTTTCGCCCAGCTGGTGGGTTGTCTTTTCATTTTGATCTCGGGCAAGTGTTTTGACCTCTCTCAGCCTCAGTTTCTTCTTGTATAAAACAGCCTCTAATAACAGTTCCCCCTCCCTGGTCCTGCTGTGAGGACTGAACGAGATACAGTATGGAAAGTACCCAGCACGAGGCCTTGGAGGGAAACCACTTTCCTAATCCCATAACCAAATGCATGCTCTTCTTTGACGCTCCCCACGTTCTCCATGCCACCAGGGAGTCCTGACCAGGCCTCCTCGCTGTAGCAGGGAGCTGGTTCTGACTCTTTGGATTCTGACACAATCAACAGTGAGGGCTCCTTTCCCACTCGGGACCATCAGATTTCCTACCCCACAGCCACACACGGCACCCTGAGGCAGATGCTCAACAAAGGAGGCCAGTCCTCCTAATACGCCTGGGTCTCAGCCCCCACTGATGGATTAGAGTGTTCGTCACATGCATGGCAACAACACAAAGCCCCAGCGATCAAGAATGACCATGGAACAGTGGCAGAGCTTCATATGTGACAGGCAGCCCATCAACAGTCATCTGTGGACATGCCATGCAGTAAGTTACACAAACAGGAAAACAGGTATCATGGTGTGTGTGTGTGCATGTATTATACGTGTATGTGTGAGTGTGTACACGTGTATGCATGTGCATGTACGCGTGTAAGTTTATAAGCATTTATAAGGCCATCGGTGTGTAAAGTTAGATGAGTTTTCCATGCCATCATTGGTACAACAATTTTTTTTGTGTGTGAGGAAGACCGGCCCTGAGCTAACATCTGCCAATCCTCCTCTTTTTGCTGAGGAAGATTGGCCCTAACCCAACACTCGTGCCCATCTTCCTCCACTTTATACGGGACGCCACCACAGCATGGCTTGCCAAGCAGTGCGTCAGTGCGCGCCCCGGATCTGAACCGGCGAACCCCGGGCCACCGCAGCAGAGTGCGCGAACTTAACCACTTGTGCCACCGGGCCGGCCCTGGTACAACAATTTTTTTACTTAACAAAGCAAACCTGTAATAGTGCAGCATGATGAGCAATCATGGACCACTCAAACGTACTCACCTCTGCACATGTGAGGGTCCTCGTCCGGTTGTGAACTTTGTTATGAATGAACATGGTGGTTCCACCTGCAGCTACGCCATCGACTTTAACAGTCATGGTAAAGCTGGTCTGAATAGACGTTTCTACAAAAGAAAGAAATTTGGCGTCAGGGACCATGTCAGGCACATCACACCTACAAAGGTGCCTGCCTGGCTCAGAGGCGGCCCGGGAGGGTCTTCCATCACATCGGCCTCAGCATATTTGAAAACCCACGCTTGCCAGCAAAGCAAAGCTTTTCCATGAGATTCTACGTCCAACCCATTACTCAGGGGGCCATGTAAAAACCTGCGTTTCAGGTCCACCAGTTTCATTCACAAACGGACAACTACTTCATGGCTAACGAAATTGTATTTTTAAATTTCCCACATAAATTTTTAATTTAACTTTATACCAAAATAGATTTCTTATTTTTTCTGATTGTATAATTTATTATTTTTCTGTTATATGCTCACTGTTAAAAAAATCAGAGAACAAAAAATATAAAGATGGCATTAAACACTTATAATCCCACCACCTACAGAAAACCATAATTAACGTTTGTGTCCACCCTTCCAAACCATTTTCTAGACATACAAATACACAGTGATATCAAATTTACTTATGCTTTTAAAAATATTATAAAAGGGGTTAATTTTTTTGTAATATGCATTTTTTTCACGTAATTTATTGCAGTCATAGGGTTATCTTTTCAAATTCTTTCTCAACCAAAGCGCCCCACCTGAATCACAGGACATAGAAAATAATGTGAGTGAACAGAGCTAATTCATTATAAACTGTGCATGCTTTAGGTAAGGTTTCTCAGCTTTGCATCATTGATATTTTGAGGCCAGGTAATTCTTTGTTGAGGAGTCTGTCCTGTGCTTTATAGGGTGTTTAGCAGCGTCCCTGGCCTCCACCCACGAGATGCTAGCAGTAGAGTCATTGCCTTAGGGCATCAGGCCTTAATTCTCTCCCAGAACCCCACTGAAAAGGCTAGAGCAGCAGCGTCTACACGGTGCAGCCACTGAGCTGACCAGTACTCCCTGGCACTGACCAGTCCGCCCTGAGGCCTGCATCGTAACTTACTCTGGAGGATACTGGAGGACGTTTAAGGGGCTTCCGATTTGTTGCTATTAGAAAGAACAATGAACAGTCTTGTACATCCACCTTTGAGCACCTGTTCAAAGATGTTAAACCCCTTTTAACCTTTAAAATACAGTGCTTTGCACAAAGAAAAATCACTCCAAAATGTCAGGCTTCATACCTTTTGATTCATCCAACTCAACGACACATGTCAGCCAGAGTTGCTGATTATATGTAGACAGCGGATTTGAAAGTATTTGAATTGGCTTTAGCTGAGGCAAAAGAGAAAAAAGTTAAGTAATCCGTGTGACCTTTTCATTGAGTCTACCAAGTATCTCACCTTAACACACAAAATGTACATTTAGCAAAATAGGTTTGAGCGTTATCACTAAAACAGAAACGTGTAGTTTTCCTTTCAACGATATAAGGGAAATTCTGCCTTCCGGAAAAACAAAGGACTAGCTTTCTGCTGCAATTCACTTCTGTCTCTCAGGAAAACCTCTAGAGCAGGAGGTTTGCACAACCTGGAGCCTTGGGACAACACAGCTACTCAAATACCAAGAAAAAGCCATCTTGGAGAAAAAATTAAAAGCACATATGATGACACATTTAGTAAGATAATAAAGGCCACCAAGGAAACATTCTCATATTCACAAGACAGTGTGTCTCAAGAATCATTTCTTTAGTACCAACACGCCAGACACATCACTGTTTGGCGTCTGTTATGTTCAGCTTTAGGAAAGTCTTAACATCCCCGGAGAGAAAAATTAGAGAGGACCATGCTGCCAATGATACTTCTGCAGTGTCTGTTGACAAACATAATACAGGTGTTTAACAGCAGTGGGAGAACAGCAGAGAAAGTTGTTGAAGGAGCCCACCCATGGTTCCGAAGAAAAGCGTTATTTGAATGCGTAGTCTCGGAACGTAAATGGGTGGTTTTGCGTTTTAATACTCCGGCAGGCCTCGATGAAACTCCTGTGACCAAAGACTTGCCTCCAAGCCACCCAGGAATGAAGCCTGTCAGAGGATGATCTGTAATCTTTCAGAAGTGAGGCTGATCTTTTAGAATTAAGTCAGTTCTGTGGGACAGCTGCTAATTTCAGTGTCAAAGAAAGACATATCCTCAGAGACAGAAGTTTTTAAAAACCAAACTGAGGTCAGGAAACCTGATGATGGCACCCATCAGATCCTCAGTGCAAGAGTTAAAGAAAATAAATAAATGCAAAGAAAATGTGCAGAGAGGCTAAACAGAGGCCCCTTCAAAGTAGCAGGAGCAAAAGAAGAATTGAAAGGTGTAAGTTTTAGGACATTATTCTCCTTTTGCTTTTTTGAAAACTGAGGGTGGGAACCTTGCAGGGAGCTGAGAGAACGGAGACAACGGCAAGATATTTGGGGTCGAAGGATTAGATTTAAACCATACATGTTCCACATTCACGAGAATGTAGGACAACTGTGTTCAGTTTATAGATAAAGACATTATGTTTGATGTGCAGGAAAATAAAAGGGCTTAGTTGTTTGGGTTCTCACAAGTTGGTATTTATTAAAGAATACCAAGATGTTCCAATTGGAAGGACCTTTGTTTCTCTCTAAAGATGGTGAAGAATCAAGGCACATTAAAAAAAAAAGAAAAGAAAAAACATTTCTCATTCAAACTGAGTTCATGCAAGGAATACCAAACAATCATTAGAAAGAATTATTCCTGTTAGAAACCTGACACGGAGACCACGTCTCAACTTGGGCAAATATAACAAGAAGGGTCAGATACCTAGGTGATTGTTCTTAGAATTTATAATCTAGTAAGGCTTGCAGACGTGAGGAATCAGGATGGGATAACCGCCCTTTGGAAATGAACTGCTGCTTCCTAAGAGGTAACCCCACTATCCTTTCTCAGTACTGAGGTATTTATTACAGCAGAAAAGGTCACTTTAGCAAACAAGAACCCAGAGGCCAGCAGCCGACAGAGGAGTAAGAAATGTGTGTTGCCTAAAGCACACTGCAGGGCAAGGTGGTCTACCTTAAGGACCCTCTGAGTGGGACCATTTCTTAGTCACCCGGAAGTTTATAAGCCCCACCAGCTGCCACTCAGACCCAGTCTTACCTTTTTGCTATTATTTAGTGAAAAATTAGCTGCAGAGGTCTGGATCACTTTGGGCCCTAAAGTGTAACAGAGAAGGAGAAAAAGCAGGTTATATCTATATTGATAACGAATTTACTGATTTTTTTTCAAATGCCAAGAAAGACTCATACATTTCATGGAGGTGGTCTTATTTTCCTGTCTGTCTTTAGAGGTTTTGTGTGTTGAGGTCAAACATATAAACATACAAACACAGGCATACAATATCCACTCTGCTGCACTTCACGACTTCCCAATGGAGGGGAACCCAACATGACTGCCACACAACACACAGGATTTCCATGGGATTTTATGTGCAGAAAACTCTCCTCTGCTCCCATTGAGGGCTCCCTCTGTAGTGCTCGGATCCAAGAAAACATTAATGATGCAGACGTTGTCTACATATTCTGTAAAGTACAAAGATTTCTGCTAAAAAACAAGACATTTATCTATTCATCCAATTAATCCAATCTTCCAAAAATATTAAGTAAGGGGGATACAGAAGCACAATATATACTAATACATACTCAAGGCTTTTCCTGAAATAACAGATATACAACCTTCATAGATGCTCACAGTGTAATTCTTCAGAGCTTTGTCCTTAAAAGAATTAGTCAAAGGAAACACTGTGACTGATTTTAATCTAAGGTAGAACTGAATTTGTTCTAAAACATAGCATTTTCAGCTTGTGACGTCAGTTTTCTGGGCTGCCTAAGTGGCCCTCCCGAGCCCACCACCAAAACCCTCCATCTAAGGAGGAGATACACGAGTATGTTCATCAACCCAGGCGGTGACACGCCTCGGGACGCGTTCATGAACGCTGAGAGGGGAATGTCTCTATGTAGGAAGGAGGCTCGTCCCCGCAGGGGGCTTATTTTAAAGAGAGCCACAATCTGAGTGCACTCCTATCCCAGGGAGTAACGCAGTCTGGTTTCTCAGAAAGAATGAACAACTAGGGGTCAGCAAAATCTAGACTCTAGCCTCAGCTAACTTGGCTTTCTGGATCTCAATTTCCTCATTTGCAAAACGAGGGTGACGAACCTGATGGTCCCTAAGGCACTCCAAACCCTGAAATCCTAATAGTCTTACCACATACAGTAAGTGCGAGCCGAGGACCTATGATGGTGATTTTGTGTGTCAAATCAACTGGGCCACGGGGTGCCTAGATATTTGGATGAACATTATTCTGGGTGTGTCTGTGAGGGTATTTCCTGATGAGATTAATATCTAAATCAATAGGCTGAGTAAACAGACTGCCCTCCCCTATGTGGGTCGGCCTCATCCAAATCACTGGAGGCCTGAACAGGGCAAAAAGCACTGAGTAAGGGAGAATGCGCTCTTGGTGCCTGAGCTCGCTGTCTTCAGACTGGGAGGTCAGTCTTCACCTGTCTTCAGACATGAACCGGACCTTACACATCGGCTCTCCCGTGTCTCCAGCTTGCCAAATGCAGAGCATGGGGCTTCTCGGCTTCCGTAATCACATGAGCCAATTCCTCATAATAAATAAATCTCTCTCTCTATAGACAGACAGACAGGTAGGTAGGTAGGTAGATACACAGATAGATATAGATAGATATAGATATAGATAAATATCTCTTGTTGGTTCCGTTTCTTTGGAGACCCCTGACTAATACAGATTTTGGTACCAAGAGTGGTTCTAGAGGAACAGAAGGTTTAGGAGAAGTTTTCTGAATTGGTTCTGGGGTTTCTGGAATTGTCTCTCTAATCTGATTCGATTTACAGATGCTAATGACTCTATGTCCAGTAGTAAAGAGAGTACTGACAGTCCACGAAAATATGCAAAATATCTCCACTGGGTACTCCTTATCAACCACTCATAGGAAGCAAGGAGCTAAGTGACTCTGGTTATGATACTTTAGAACATTTTTGGAAAACTAACGAATACAATGAGGTTGGCTGGTTACTCCTAATGTCACTGGACAAAGTGGTGAAAGAAACGGATGAGCTCCGGGATTTGAATTCCCAGCTCAAGAGCTGCATAAATGACCTGAAAGCTTCTCTGTATGCCCTGACAAGACCTTTATCTCCTAGAGCCAGAGGGCTGGGATTGCTGAAAATCAAACCCAGAATCTCATCCGGCAACTGGCTGAATTACAAGGCAAGCTGAACTCCCAGCTTCGCAGGGTGTCTCCTGTTAAAGTGAGGACGTTGACTGGGAAAGAATGGGACCCTGTAAGTTGAGGTGGGGGTGTGTGGGAAGATCCTGATGAAGCTGAGGACACCGAGCCCCTACATTCTAATGAGCCTTCCTCGCCAGTGGAAGAGGCCTCCCTATTCCCAGTGGAAGAGGCCTCTCCACCTCTGTCTGAGGGATTAACCCTGCATTGCCTAAGGAACCAGTAATGGCCTCCTCTGAGGCAGTTGCCAAACAAGATGATGCTGATTCTGCTCAGGACCCACTCTCATCACCCCTCTTTGCTTCTAGAACTGTAAATAGACTTAAGTCCCAGCAGGTCCCTGGAGGTGAGGTACGAAGAGTGACCCATGAGGAGATGCACGACACTGCTGAAGAACTACTTGAGTTTTCTGATTTATACAGACAGAAATCCAGGGAACACGCATGGGAATGGATACTAAGGGTGTGAGATAATGGTGGAAGGAAGATAAAGTTGGATTAGGCTGAATTCATGGATCTGGGCTCACTAAGCAGAGATTCTGCACTGAACGTTGTAGCTCGGGGAGTTAGGAAGGATTCCAACAGTTTGGAATCCTAAAACATGGACCAAAAGGTGGTCCCCAGTGAGCAAATCAGAAACGCTGCACCTGCCTCAGTTTAATGTAGAGGAAGGGACTCAGAGGCTCAGGGAGACTGGGATGTTAGGGTGGATTTGTCATTTAAGACCTCTGGGAGAGGCCGTAAGACATACCTTCACTACTACTGTGAGAAATAAATTTGTGAGGGGAGCCCCAGCATCCTTAAAGAGCTCTACAGTGGCCCTTCTTTGTAGGCCAGATCTTACAGTGGAAACTGAAGTCAATGAATTGGGAAGCCAAAATGCAATAGAGGTAACTGGAACCCAGGGACGGCAGAGCCAAGTGTAGCATTCAACCGTGGAAGACAAGGTGGGTGTGGTTACCATAGGAATAGCACAGTCAAAGCAGCAACCAGAACAGTCTGACACGCAGACCTAGGGCATTGGCTAGTTGGTCATGGTGCTCCTAGAAGTGAAATATATAGGAAGCCTACTAAATTCTTACTTGATCTGTATAAGCAGAAAAGTTCTAGGTCATGTGGACAAAAGTCTAACCTGAATCATAAAAACAGAGAGTCACCTCTGTGACTGGAGCCCCTCCATCCATTTTCAGATGTGAGCCAGTTTACAGACCCAAAACCCCTTGAAGGAAGGAGAGGTTGGGTCCCTTTAAGAAAGCACCCTGGTATATTGCCAAAAATTTATACTGTTAATCATTCTCCCAGCCTTCCCCAAAGAGACCTACAGCCTTTTATCAGGGTAACTATACACTGAGGAAAGGAAATAATCAGACATTTCGGGGACTACTGGACACTGGCTCTACTGACACTAATTTCAGGAAACCCAAAACATCATTGTGGTGCACCAGTCAGAGCAGGCACTCGTGGAGGTCAGGCGATCAATGGAGTTTTAGCTCAGGTCCTTCTCACAGTGAACCCAGTGGGTCCCCGAATCCATCTTATGATTAATTTCCCAGTTCCAGAACACATAACTGGAAGAGATATACTCAGCAGCTGGCAGAATCCTCACATTGGTTCCCTGACTTGTGGAGTGAGGGCTATTATGGTGGGAAAGGCCAAGTAGAAGCCACTAGAACTGCTTCTGCCTAGGAAAATAGTAAACCAAAAGCAATAGTGCATTCCTGGAGGGATTGCAAACATTAGTGTCACAGTAAGGACCTGAAAGATTCCCACCACATCCCCATTCAACTTGCCTATTTGGCCTATGCAGAAGACAGATGCATCTTAGAGAACGACAGTGTATTATGATAAGTTTAACCAAGTAAGTGGTGACTCCAACTACAGCTGCTGTACCAGATGGAGTTTCATTGCTTGAGCAAATTCACACATCCTCTGGTACCTGACACGCAGCTACTGGTCTGGCAAATGCCTTTTTCTCCATCCTTATCAATAAGGCCCACCAGAAGAAGCGTGCTTTCAGCCAGCAAGGCCAGCAATACACCTTCACTGTCCTACCACAGGGGTATATCAACTCTCCAGCACTATATCGTAACTTAGTCTACAGAGAGCTTGATCACCTTTCCCTTCCACACGCAAATCACACCAGTCCATTACACTGATGACGTTACACTGACTGGACCTACTGAGCCGGAACTAGCAATGACCCTAGACTTATTGGTAAGAATTTGCAGGCCAGAGGGTAGAAAATAAATCTGACTAAAATTCAGGGGCCTTCTACCTAGTGAAATTTCTAGGGGTCCAGTGGTGTGGGCCACGTAAAGATAGCCCCTCTAAGGTGAAGGACGAGTTGTTGCATCTGGCCCTTCCTACAATCAAAACAGAGGCATGATGCCTAATGGGCCCCTCTGGATTTTGGAGGCAACTGTTCCTCATTTGGGTGTGGTACTCTGGCCCATTTACCTAGTGACCCAAAAAACTGCTAGTTCTGAGTGGGGCCCAGAACAAGACAAGGCTCCAGGCTGCCGTGCCAGCTGCTCTGCCACCTGGACACAGCATCCGGCAGCTCCACTGGTGCTGGTGTCCATGCAGATAGGGATGCTGTGTGGAGCCTCGGCCAGGGCCCTACAGGTGAGTCACAGCACGGGCCCCTAGGATTCTGGAGCAAGGCCTGCCATCCTCCACAGAAACTACTCTCCTTTTGAGAAACAGCTCTTGGCCTGCTCCTGGGCCCCAGTGGAGACTGAACACTTAACCCTGGGCCACCAAGTTACCGTGCAACCTGGGCTGCCCATCACGAACTGGGTGTTATCTGACCCATCAAGCCAGAAAGCTGGGCGTGCACAGCAGCACTCCATCATCAAATGGAAGTGGGAGATACAGGATCTGGCCCAAGAAGGCCCGAAGGCACAAGTCAGTCACATGAAGAAGCAGCCCAAATGCCCCGGTCCCCCCTCCTGCTCCACTATCTTCTCCTCCCAGCCTGCATCTATGGCCTCATGGGCCATAGATCATCCACGATCATCTGACAGAGGAAGAGCTGACCACCCGAAAGTAGACAGCTGCAGCACCACAGCCCCTCCCTGGGACATCCCTGAAGGACATGGTGAAGGGAAATCTTCCCCGGGGGCCGTACTTCGAGCACTGCACCTGGTTGTTCACTTTGCTTTGTAGGAGAAATGGCAAGATGTGCGATTATACACCAATTCTTGGGCTGTGGCCAACGGTTTGGCTGGATGGTCAGAGACAAGGAAGGAACATGATTGGAAAATTGGTGACAAGGAAACTTGAGGAAGAAGTATGTGGATAGACCTCTCTGAACGGGCAAAAAATGTGAAGTTATTTGTTTCCCACATGAATGCTCACCAAAGGGTGACCTCAGCAAAGGAGAATTTTAATAACCAAGTAATAGGATGACCTGTTCTGTGGATACCAGCTAGCCTCTCTCCTCAGCCACCCCCAGTCATTGCCCAATGGGCTCATGAACAAAGTGACCATGGTGGCAGGGATGGAGGCTATGTGCGGGCTCAGCACCATGGCTCCACTTACCAAGGCTCATCTGGTTACAGCCACCACTGAGCGCCCAATCTGCCAGCAGCAGAGACCAATACTGAGCCCCCATATGGCACCGTTCCCCAGGGTGATCAGCTAGCAACCTGGTGGCAGGTCGATTACACTGGACCACTTCCAACACGGAAGGGGCAGTGTTTCATTCTTACTGGAGTAGACACTCTGGATACAGATTTGCCTTTTCTTTACCCAATGCTTTGTCAAAACTACCATCCATGAACCTACAGAATGCCTTATCTATCATCATGGTATTCCACACAGCATTGTTTCTGATCAAGGAACTCATTTCACAGCAAAAGAAGTACGGCAATGGGCCCACGCTCACGGAACTCACTGGTCTGACCATGTTCCCCACCATCTAGAAGCAGCCGGTTGACAGAATGGTGAAATGGCCTTTTGAAGGCTCAGTTACAGGGCCAGCTAGGTGGCAATTCCTTTCAGGACTGGGGCAGGGTTTTCTAGGAAGCTGTATATGCTCTGAATCAGTGTCCAATGTATGGTGCTATTTCTCTCATAGCCAGGATTCATAGGTCCAAGAATCACGGGGTAGAAATGGGAGTGGCACCACACACTACTACCCCATTGACTCAGTAGCAAAATTTGTGATTCCCGTGCCTACAACCCTGTGCTCTGCTGGCCTAGAGTTCTTGGTTCCAAAGAGAGGAACGCTTCCACCAGAAGACACAACAATGATTCCACTGAACCCGAAGTTAAGACTGTCACCCGGTCACCTTGAGCTCCTCATGCCTCTGACTCAACAGGCAAAGAAGGGAGTTACTGTGCTGGCTGGGGTGACTGATCCTGACTACAAGGGGAAATTGGACTGCTACCCCACAATGGAGGTAAGGCAGAACACGTCCGGATTACAGGAGATGCCTTAGGGCGTCCCTTAGTATTACTACATCCTGAGATTACAGTCAATGGAAAATTACAACCCAATCCAGGCAGGACTACAAATGGCCCGACTCTTCAGGAATGAAGGTTTGGGTCACCCACCAGGTAAAGAACCATGAGCAGCTGAGGTGCTTGCTGAAGGCAAAGGGAACACAGGATGGGCAGTGGAAGGAGGTAGTTACAAATACCAGCTACGACCATGTGACCAGTTATAGAAAGGAGGACTGTAATTGTAATGAGCATTTCCTTATTTTGTGATGAATATGTTTGCATGTGTGTGTGTACATACATACATATAAATATATATTCTAAGCAAATATCTTTGTTTTCTTCCTTCTCTTATTCCCTTATCAAGTAATATAAGAAGTATTGACTTTATACCATAGTTTTTAAGTATTGTTAATTTTATATCATATTATTTAAATTATGGGATATCAAAGAGAACAGTAAATATCACTCAAGGACTTTATCTCCTCTTCTGGGGATGGAGTAGTGAGTTTTCGGCCACATGGTGCCCAGACATTTGAACATTATTATTAAATATTATTCTAAGTGTGTGTGAAGGTGTTTCTGGATGAGATTAACATTTGAATGGGCAGAAGTGGAAAGCAGATTGCCCTCCCCAACGTGGGTGGGCCTCATCCAATTCGATGAAGGCCTGAATACACCAAAAAAGGCTGAGTAAGGGAGAATTTGCTCTCTCTGCCTGACCATCTTCGAGGTGTTAGATCAGTCTTCTCCTGCCTTCAGACTTGGACTCAGACTGGAACTTAAACCACCAGCTCTCCCAGGCCTTGGGACTCAGCGTGGGAACTACCTCATCGGCTCTCCTAGGTCTCCAGCTAGCCAAATGCAGATCCTGGGACGTCGTAGCCTCCATAACTGCGTGAGCCAATTCCTTAACATAAATCAATATATCTATATCTGTATCTGTCCTATCAGTTCTCTTTCATATACATCTACACACACATCCTGTTGGTCTGTTTCTCTGGCAAACCCTGACTAACACCAGTACTCTACAGGAAGAAGGAAAGGGATGTGGAAATCCTAACACTGTTTCTCTTATCTCAGCCTTGGTGCATCACTTTTCATTTCTGCAAGAGTGGAGAAGGTTGAAGGTAATCATAGGTATTTGAGACAGACAGTGGCTTAAGGAAACAAGAGTTGGCTAAGGTCCCGTTGCCACTGGAGATCAGGAGAATATTAATGTCCTTCACACCAATCTTAAAGGACAGCTGTAAAACTCAAGTAAGATAATGGACATGTCTTGCGACTTCCCAAGGAAGGAAAAGAAGAGGCTGGCTACAGTTGCTATTGTCACCATCCTCATCTCCATCATCAGCAGGCAAAGAGCACCTGAATAGCCGCCCTCTCCCATAGCTTCCTCAGTCCATTCGCCACCAAAAGTTTCAGCGTAGGTCAAGAAACAAGCCTTTTGAGGCACAAGTCCCTCTGGGACAGGCTAAGCCTAACTGTCATTCACACTGTAATGTTAAGTGCCTCAATTAGATAAACATCTATCAGGAACCCTCACTGAGAAAGATCTTTACAAGGGAAAGAAGAAACAGCCTCCGTCAGGCTCCTGGTCTCCCATCCCTTGGATAAGACCGAAAAGACCGGGGTTTCTGGGAATCTTATAAAAACCAGTTGATTCCTCTGGTTCTCAGTTTTCTGTCTGTGAGAAAGGGGGTTGGACGGGACGATTTTAAAGGCATTTTCGAAGCTAAAATCATTATGGTGTGGCTCCTCCCCTCAAACAGTGCGCTGTGGGGCTGCAGGGCACCTGGGGCCCTGAAGACAAGGCAGAAGTCGACCTGCAGGCTCCCTCCTGCCAAGAGTTCGGGGTGTCACCAGAGCCGCCTCCCCGCTCCTCTGCGGCACCCCGGCCCCATGCTCACAGCTATCTCACGCCCTCCCCACCTTTCGCTGCACTGAACCATTTAGATGGCCTGTCTCCCCCGTCAGCCAGCAACTTCTGGATTCCCCAGCGCCCAGGCTGGGTCCTGGCGCACAACAGACTCTCCAGAAATGTTTGACTGCCCAACATAAGGTTTGTGGTCAAGGCTGCCTGGTGCTGCCAAGCTGAACTCAGGCCCTGGCTGCCGTGTGGGGCAGGACCAGGGTGACCCCTCCGCCCAGCAGGTTCAGAGAGAAGCAGGGCTTCACCCTCCACAATGGGGCCCTTGGCGGGTGAGAGCAAGTGCGTACAGCTGGGTTTGGCTGAGAAGCCCTGCACCAAGACAACCATAAATGATAAAATGATCAAAGAGTGCACCTCACCTCTGATCCCGACGAAGACGGTCAGGCCAAAACAGATGAAGAAGACGACGAACACGAGGACAAAGTGGCGCTTGGAGAGCGTGTACAGCCGCATGGGCGCCAGCCTGCGGAGCAGAAGCCAGTGGGTGAGGGGCAGGCAGGGAGGGCTCCGTCCCCAAACCAGCACCACACACAGGCCGCACTGGGCCTCCCCCTCCCCACCTGCAAGCCCTCACCTCTGAAGCCGACCTACTCTGAAATCAGGCGACCCGCCTGACAAAACAGCCCCAATGACCTCAGGGACCACTGCAGGGGTGGGTGACATTCTGGAATGTTCTGGGTCAAGCGCTTGGTGAAGGCCCCTGTCACCCTGGTCTGCATAGAGCCAGCCAAACCCACTCCTGAGGGCAGGAGACCATGCTGTGGCTTCCACACCCCTCAGCGCATGTTTCACCATACACATCAGTGGTGGCCAGACCCCCTCCACAGCCATCCCACCTCCAGCCGCCAGAGCAGAGCCCAGGTGGGTGGAGGACCCTACTTCACTCACACATGCAGCTTTAACTGTTAGCTGTCACGATCAAGCCCAGACTGGGAATTCCAGGTGCCACCAGCATCACATTTTTCTATCTGGTCTTCTCCCAGCCCACAGTTTTATTTTTCCTGTCCAGGGACCCTCACAATCTAAGACCCCTCCCTTGTGTCACCCCATCACAGTGAAGCCCAGCCTGGCTTTCACCGTGGGACTCTGATGCAACTAGGCAAGCTGCCTGCAGTTTCCCGTGACTTACATCAACATGGAAACCTATTCAAGGATCCATCCTACACTCACCTATCAGGTCCCCTCCTGGTCATCCCTACTCTCTCCTCTGGTCAGAACAAAACGGCAGTGGGGTTGGGATCATTTCTCCTTTAGAACTCCCTACATCAGGGGCTGGCAAACAAAAGACAAATCCGTAAAGGACCAGATGATATGTGCTTGAGGCTCACGGGCCACACTGTCACAAGTCCTCGAAGCTGCCTCCGTAAGCAGCCCCAGATGTGACACAAACGCACGTGCGTGGCTATGTTCCAATTCAACCCTACTATAGAGAGGGGGCCGGCCAGGTTTGGCCTGTGGGTGGCTGAAGCCTACCCTGTAACCTAAAGAGGAGAATCACAAACCCAGAAATGGGGGCTGGGGGGTGTTTTGCTTTGCTTTTCACGTTCTTTTTATTCCCCTAGCATTTCCTGGTCTTGGAGCTGAGACAGCAGGAAGGAATTTCTCACGCCTCACGAACAGAAGGCAACACACACACTCACTCACACACACACACACACCACCCCCCCGCCGAGGAGGAGAAACAGGATCTGAACCGGAAACACAGGGAAAGGTTATTTGCTCTGTGGTATGAAGCTCACACGGGATGTGCACATGCACAAGCTCCCTTACGTGGCGGAAGATTCCAGCTGCTGAGCAGGAAAGCAGCTGGCGGTATCTCAGGGCAAGGGTGGGGCCCATCGGCCACCTCGCCCTGACGTGGCTTTGCTGATACTCAGTCAGCTCTCGCCAGCAGGGCCTGGCAGGCCTTTGGGCGGGCACACTTCCAGATCAGTGTCACTGTGTTCCCTGAACGATGGAACCAGTGAGGAGACGAGGGAATGAGTGCCTCCATCTTTCCCTTTGCGACTCGGCTCCAAACACTGAACCATGAACAACCCTGCTGTGCATGAGAAGCGAGAGCTAGCGGAGTAAGTGGGCTGATTCCAACTCGGGTTTTAGACCCGAAAGATTATAGAGGCCTGAGAGCCTTAAAAAGTTAGAGCCAGAAATTACCTCAGGGAGGAAGTCCCACCCCTTCGATGTGCCCAAGGGGAATCTGAGGTCCAGAGACAGCAGGACACTTGCCAGAGATGTCACAGCTCTGCCCGTTGGCAGCAGCTGCCGCTCCCCAGGAAGGAGGCTCTGGGAAGCAGGACAGAGCTGAGGGACCCACCTCCAGGAATGCCCTCCTGGGGGAAGCCCTGTGGAAGGTAGGGCTGGCACAGGACAAGGCCTCCTTGGTCATTTCTCTGTTGTCCCCAGGTGTGGAGGCTGCTACGTGGTTGCTTAGCATGGTCTGCTTAATACATTTCTGTTTTACTACTCTGCAGCAGGGAAGATTTCTACACAGCTGCATAGAGCTTTGTCACTCTGAAAAAACACTACACAAGCTAAACGGACTAGATGCTGGGGGAGGCAAACAAAGCCTGCAGTTAACAGCAGCGCACCAACGCTGACCTCTCAGCTCTGATAAACGTGCCATGGTTCCAAGAGGCGAACACGAGGGGAAACTGGGCAAAGGGTGTGCAGAAACCCTCTGCACTGTCTTAGCCACTCCTCTGTAAATCTGAAGTTGTTTAAAAACATTGCACAAAGTCATCCACGGCACCCCATTCTGCTGTTCTCGGGGCCAGCTGCCCCAGGAGTGGGCCTGGGGCCAAGGCTCTGGAGCACCAAGGGCTCCCCAGCAGAGGCAAGAGTACAGAAGAGCTTCTTGGAAGCAGAGAAAAACAGAATAAGAACAATTATATTTCAATTTTCTATTTTTAAAACACATTATTGATAAAACACATTACCTACAATTTACTGTAAAAGCACGGTTATTTAGCAGGTGAGAAGGAATGCTGAAAAAGAGGCTTAAGAAAGGGAACAACGGCACAAGACCAAATTTCTGCAGCATACAACCCAACAGGGTAGTTCCCAATTCTCCTCAGAGGGCTCAGTAACATCTATTGTTTCCCCTTCCTCAAAACTTCCACCTAGGTGCCAGCCTGGTGGCGTGGTGGTTAAGTTCACATGCTCCACTTCGGCGGCCTGGGGTTCGTGGGTTAGGATCCCGGGTGTGGACCTACACACCGCTTGTCAAGCCATGCTGTGGCGGCAACCCAATACAAAACAGAGGAAGATTTGCACAGATGTTAGTTCAGAGCCAATCTTCCTCACACACACAAAAAAAAAAACCTTCCACCTAAATCCAATTTATTAGAAAATTTCCTGGTTCAACAATCAAGCCTCATCCACCTCAATGGAAAAAAGACACAGAGAAAGGAAAATCAGTCCCCTGCTTGAAAAAAGGCCATCCCCACTGACCTGGGCCTGCAGGGGACAGGGTGGGCAAGAAGCCTCTCTTTCCGCTCTGTCTCGAGTCTCCTGGCAGACAGTAAACCTCTTTAGGCATCCTCACTCTGGGAGTCTGGGATCCAGAGACCCTCGCCACCCACAGGGTGTCATGGGCAGCAGGACAGCACCAAGACATGAGGACACCCTCCTCGCCATGGTTCTTTCTGCCCTCAGTGTCTAAGAGCTTTGAAGCAGTTCACCAACAAAGCAGAGACTTCTGAAACCTCAGGAATGTCACCCTACTCCACGCAAACCACAGGTCTAGGCTCAAAACAACAAAACTTTGAGATGCCAACATAAAAAAGGAAGAGGCAGCGGCCAGGAGACAAGGCTGTGGTGTGAGAAGAGCTTGGGACGTGCTCTCCTCAGCTGGTTTCACATCACACCTCGCACTCCCAGCCGCCTCCCAGCCCACTTCCTGCCCTGAGCCAGGCACCCAGTGATTTCTCTGCCTACTTTCCATTTCACCTCCCTGCTGAAATGCCAACGTGTTTCTAACAACCAAGAGAACCTAAACTAACCAACACCTGGGTAAGTCCTGGTGAGCAGACAGCCTTGGTCACCAACAGGAGGAACAGTTCTGTAAATGCTCAGAGGCAAGACTGGGATGCAGAAAATACACACAGCCGGCCACCAAGAGGCCTTGGACCCTGAGGCCTGAACCCACCCTCAATCTCCTCGTCCACTCTCACCCACCCTTCTGGGGCAACTCTCCGCCCACGTTCGGGACCCCACACTGTGCAGGCTCTCCAACGCGGGCTAGCCTGCTCCTCTTCACCAGTCCTTCCCACCTCCAGAAACCAACCCAACCTCCTGCCCACCACTGACCCCACTCTGAAATAGTGTCTCCCAAGACACTTTCACTTAGAAGTCCTACATCACTTTACAGTCAATGGGTTTAAAACTGAACCCATTAAAAAACAAAGTAACATAAATGAAATACCTGCTTCCACTGCCCCCTTCCTGCCTCCACCCTTTCTCCAGCCCTACATCCTGAAACCTTGGGGTCACCTCCGATGCCCGTCTCTCATTCATCCCACACATCTGGCCAGCCAGGAAGAGGTGACGCCCTGCTTCCCAAATTCTCTTCATCCCAGAACACTAGTCTTGGGGTCCAAGCCCTCAACGACTCCCACCACAAGTATGGCAATAGCCTCCCAGACACGTCTTCCTCTGTGGGTGGTACAGCACGTTTAACACGCCACCCCTGCACAGAAAGTCTATGTGGCCCCCACAGCAAACTCAATCGAGTTTAAACTCCTCCTCCTTCATAGCTTTCAAGGTCCCCCCAAATCCTACCCTGCACGTATCCTACGAGTTACTACCTCCCTTAGTCATCATAGCTATCTTCTGAGGTGGGTACTAGTGCCCCCATTTCACAGATGAGAAAGCTCAGGCTGAGACAGGTAGGTAACTCGCCCCAGATCACAAAGTACCACGTGGCAGAGGCAGCACTGAAACCCCAGCACCACACTCCAGAGCTTGAATTCTATGACGCCTCCCAAAGTGGTCGAGCCAGACTCCAGACCAGCCCACTCACACACTGCTCTCCTGATATGAAATGCTCTCTCCTCTCCCCACCAAATCATCTAAATCTGACCCAGACTTCAGGACTCACCTGTATGTCCCATCGTCTCCATGAAGCTTTCCCTCACTTCTCCATCACAGCTGCCCACGTTTCCGAACCACGACAACAGATGTGGTCTGCACTACACACGTGAGCGCCTGAAGACCAAGTACCCATCCATCTGAGGGACACCCGGCTCAGCATGTGGAAGGCACTCAGAAAACACCTGCTCAACTCGACTTGCATTAGTTGTCTCAAAAGTGTTCATGCTGTTCCCTCAAGCTTGTGGTGAGACGCTAGGGGGCAGGACAGGGCTCCTCACTGCCCCCTACCCCCTGGCCAGGTCAAGGACAGCGGCTGATGAGATCTCTCTAAACACCCAGGACGGATGTCTTCCCACAGCATCTTACCAGCTC